TACCATGGGTTGAGTATGTCTATGAGCAGATGACTGTGTAGATGAACAGATGCTGGGATATATTCATCATTTAACGCGGATTCCTCATTTTTCTGGACTGAATAAAACGTGCATTGAATTTAAGGAAATGCAAACGTGAGACGTCATCTATGTTTGACCCATCAAAATGAATGCGGTCATTTATTTACAGAATCAAAGTTTAACATCAAACATTTACATTAATTTGGCAAATTATGAAAATAACAACATAAGCAATCAATCAGGAAAAATCATACGGCCATGATTTTTCCGTTGCTTCACCACAGACACTTATGAAAACTGTACAACTATGATCTTTTACCCACATGAATGTGGGTGAGCATTTTACACAGACATTTCTAAATATCTGGAAGAATTTCTACTTGATAGAAAAGTTTAGAGATGAAAGAAGTTTAGAGGGAGTTAAGATGGTATGGGAGGGGAAGAATGTTCACCAGAATTGACACTCTCCATCAGAACTCAGCTCTCCATCGGTACGCTTGGTAGGAAACTTGATCCATTACCTTTCTGAAGATTCATCAGCAGATATGGAGTTCCGTTAACGCTACCTGTCCAGCGTCTCCTGATTGTGGCTGTAGCTCGTCAGAAGTAGAGCTAGTGATAGTTATAATCCCATGGAACTCGGAAGAGCTTTTGTCATGTCAGGATCATCCTGTCTCCGACAGAACTCGAGCAGAACCAGCAGAAAACTCTCCAGCAGAAAACTCCCACCGAACTCTAGCAACTACTGAACTCCAGAACTCTTAGAACTCCATCAGAACTTTAGCACTCACTAGACCAGGAAGTACTGACATTTTAAAGACTCTTTCCCGGTTCACTTTTGGGAGTTGTTCATTGGTCAGAAACGACCAGACGGGGTGTGTTTTGTGACGTAAGAGGTTAGAGACAGCGAGAATTGTTATGAGACAGATCAGAAATGTTCTCACAGACAGAGAGAGTTTTGTTTTGGCGTGTTTCAGAAACAGGTGCAAAACATCTATATTTACGTCTGAGAGGATTCTAAAACATGACAGTTTTAACATAACAACTTGTTTTTCGTTTGACTCCAACCTTGGAAGCGCACACACTTGCTCATTCAAAGGCAGAAATCAGAAAATGCATAAACTCTGTAACAGCTTTTAACATGAGTTCTAACTTTGCATGAGAATAAAAATCATTACTCAGTTAATAAAATTGATTAGTTCACTGCAACATCTAAAATGGTTTGAACTAAGACACTTTGATTATCAACATTTGAAAAATAGTAATGATAATAAAAAGAGTGTTCTTTTCACTTGAATCTTCAAGGAAGAAAGTCTCAGGATGGGTGAACCTGTATTTCTGAGTTCAAATGAATGAAATGACAGTTCCTGTCCCACAAGGTTCTTAAGGTCAAGATTTTGACCTTAGACTTAGTTTTTGACATGGGCCTAGTCCACTACAACTGTTTAAATCTCTTTGAAGCCTGCCTCAAATATCAAACCCCTCAGTTTCCTATCAATGAGATTAAAGTGGTTCTACCTTCTGTTCACCATTTAAGTTATCAGTGGATCTGGTATCAGACCAAGTGGCACTCTTGAGAACTTTTGATGAGAATTGAGACCTGGCTAATCAACAGAGGACCACAGTCCCCCAGTACTCACCTGGACAAAATATTTGGCCAAGGTTTGACTTCCAACTCTAACATGCATCTAAGGAACCATCTCCCAAATACATCAGGCATTTTAAAAATCAAGTCAATTGTAAATCCATCTTCTGTAAATTTGAAGTTTCCCTCCTCCATGAGATTTATTCTACTTTTCATGTGTCCCATATAAAACCTGTTTCCAGTCCATTGTGCCCTCCTGCCACACTTCCCTTGCCAAACTCATTGAAAACCACCCAGCTTATTCTATGTGCTGCATTTTCTATGTTTGCCACAAAGACAGACCTCAGATGTCCGGGCAATTGTTGAGTCAGTTTTGCTGACATACAGTGTCTTGCAAAAGTATTCAGCCCCCTTGAACTTTTCAACCTTTTGCCACATTTCAGGCTTCAAACATAAAGATATAAAATTAAATTTTTTTGTGAAGAATCAACAACAAGTGGGACACAATGGTGAATTGGAATGAAATTTATTGGATGTGTCAAACTTTAACAAATAAAAAACTGAAAAGTGGGACGTGCAATATTATTCGGCCCCTTTACTTTCAGTGCAGCAAACTCACTCCAGAAGTTCAGTGAGGATCTATGAATGATCCAATGTTGTCCCAAATGACTGATGATGATAAATAGAATCCACCTGTGTGTAATCAAGTCTTCGTATAAATGCAACTGATCTCTGATAGCCTCAGGGTTCTGTTCAAAGTGCAGAGAGCATCATGAAGACCAAGGAACACACCAGGCAGGTCTGAGATACTGTTGTGGAGAAGTTCAAAGCCGGATTTGGATACAAAAAGATTTCCCAAGCTTTAAACATCCCAAGGAGCACTGTGCAAGCAATCATATTGAAATGGAAGGAGTACCAGACCACTGCAAATCTACCAAGACCCGGCCGTCCCTCTAAACTTTCATCTCGAACAAGGGGAAGACTGATCAGAGATGCAGCCAAGAGGCTCATGATCACTCTGGATGAACAGAGATCTACAGCTGAGGTGGGAGAGTCTGTCCATAGGACAACAATCAGTCGTACACTGCACAAATCTGGTCTTTATGGAAGAGTGGCAAGAAGAAAGCCATTTCTCAAAGATATCCATAAAAAGTGTTGTTTAAAGTTTCCCACAAGCACCTGGGTGACACACCATACATGTGGAAGAAGGTGCTCTTGTCAGATGAAACCAAAATCAAACTGTTTGGCCACAATGCAAAACAATATGTTTGGTGTAAAAGCAACACAGCTCATCACCCTGAACACACCATCCTCACTGTCAAACATGGTGGTGGCAGCATCATGGTTTGGGCCTGCTTTTCGTCAGCAGGGACAGGGAAGATGGTCAGAATTGATGGGAAGATGGATGGGGCCAAATACAGAACCATTCTGGAAGAAAATCTGTTTGAGTCTGCAAGAGACCCGAGACTGGGACGGAGATTTATCTTCCAACAAGACAATGATCCAAAACATAAAGCCAAATCTACAATGGAATGGTTCACAAATAAATGTATCCAGGTGTTGGAATGGCCAAGTCAAAGTCCAGACCTGAATCCAATCGAGAATCTATGGAAAGAGCTGAAGACTGCTGTTTACAAATGCTCTCCATCCAACCTCACTGAGCTCGAGCTGTTTTGCAAAGAAGAATGGGCAAGAATTTCAGTGTCTCCATGTGCAAAACTGATAGAGACAAACCCCAAGAGACTTGCAGCTGGAACTGCAGCAAAAGGCAGCGCTACAAAGTATTAACGCAAGGGGCCGAATAATATTGCACGCACCACTTTTCAGTTATTTTATTTGTTAAAAAAAAAGTTTGACACATCCAATAAATTTCATTCCACTTCACAATTGTGTCCCACTTATTGATTCTTCACAAAAAATTAAAATTTTATATCTTTATGTTTGAAGCCTGAAATGTGGCAAAAGGTTGAAAAGTTCAAGGGGGCCGAATACTTTTGCAAGGCACTGTAATATATTCTACCCTTATAGCTTTTGCAGATATTAAAGTTCCAAAGATCTCACAGAGCTTCCTTTGGCTTTCACAAGAAAAACTGTTTTAATTAGATTTGTTTGCGTGTGCTGCAATTTTAGGTCCCGAGGTAAAAAAATACAATGCAAAAACAACAATAGTGTAATATATAACTATTACAATAATTGTGTGTGATCTTTGCTTATAACTTTAGCAGTAACCTAATTGTTGTTGGCACTTTGGTGTGTTAGCAAAACATCTTTCACAAGACGTATTCAGAATGTGACATTTTCCGATATCGCATAACAAAATTTACAAGATTGGACCAAAACAGCTACAATGCTATAATTTTTCATCAGATGATCTTTAGGAATGCATGATATAAAAACGGTACACGGTAGAAGTGATAGATATTTAACCTACGATAGAGATCCGTCTTCTACCGGCTAACCGCAGTAATGCTGTGTCCAATGTAAAATCAGAGTAGTTGGATTTAATTGTTACTTTGAGTTGAAAACGGTGCGTAAGTGGTGTTAAAGTCATTTCTTTGAGAGCCAAGTAGCAAAGCTACAAGCTAACTACGCCCGGCTTGCCGTAATGTTGCCTAATTCGGACACATGCACAAAACGCTGTGTTCCGTCGAAAGTTTTTTTTTTTTTCCCTTCCCCCAGCAAAAGTTAAAGTAAGCGTTGGCCAGCTTTAGAGAAACTTGCTCTCTGATCTGTAAAAGAACACCGTTTTTTTGTATGAGTTTACTGCGAGACCCTCTGGTCAAAGCCACAGAGGAAACTGGTCGCCATTTTGTGTCAGCTCTCCTTAAAGCGGAAGGAGACACCCACTAGAGGGTTGGAGGGTTAAGTGTTTTCAGTGTGCACTTTCTGCTCTGTTGCTGTTCATTTCTTAAGTGAGAAGACTGGAAAACTGTTAAGAGTTAAACATATTTTGTTTAAAACATGTAGCTAAAACTACATTTGAAACATTTTGCACTGTTTTGCACTACAAAAAAGAAGTCTAATACTTGATTTGTTAATTATTTAAAAACTCTGGACCTAGTAGTGGAATTTTCTTAATTGAGATTTTGTGGTATAGCAGTTTTCAAAACAAATGATGGCAAAAAGGACACCTTATGCTCCCCCCCCCCCCCCATTCCTAATGCAAGTTTTATACCAAAAACATATTGTGATATACATCGTTAGCGCCAACCTTCACAATACATATCGTGATATGAATTTTATGCCATATCGCACATTCCTAATGATCTTAAGTCTACAACTCTGGCATAAAGGTGGTGGGAAATATGCAAGACAGGTTGTGAATTTAATCATCTTTGTTTTGATATTTGACTAGAACTTCTTTTTCGGGAAAACTGAGGGTTGTATTCAGTACCTGTATATTGATTTGAACAGGTTGCCTCTCTCCACTCTTGGTGTGTGCCACCCCCTCAGTGTCATACTGGCCAGTGTAGACCACAGACTGGGGGTCTTTAGACTGCTGCTCCAAAGGAAAGGTCACCCCACCAACACTCATTGAGCTGTGATTAAAAAAAAACATTCTGATGTCAACACACATTTGTTTGCTGTTTAACGAGTGGAATGGGCCCAGCTGTGGCCCGGGTGAATCTGGGCCACAGATGTGTTTTTTTTTTTGTTTGTTTTATTGACCCACATTTTTATCAGCATCTGTTCTACATCCCATCACGTGTGACCTACATCTGTTCATGTCTTACACAGCGAGGGCCAGATATCCCCCTCAGATAACCCACAAACCTCAGCAGAGCACGCAAAAGTAATCTGCTGTGGATTTAACGTGGTGTGTGTGCTGCATTTACGAGCTGCACGGAAATTCAAACGCCCACACCTTTAAAGTGAGTTAGTTTAAACCTTGGGAGTTTAAACCTTGGGAGAGAAATGTACATTAATAAATAGTCCACCAATATTTATGTAATGACTATACTTTTAGAAAACGTAGCGCTTCCTCCGATGCATTTTTGACAAAGAACTAAAAATGGAAATATCCTAAATGTCAGCAAACGCAGCGTGCAAATCTGTGACTAAAAATCAACGTGTGGTGCGTTTAAAGGACTTTCGGAACAATAATAAAAAACGCGTAGCCTAGTCCTTTTAAGTGGGTAAAAAAAAAAAAAAGTCCATAGAAAAAAATACAATAAAATCTCCCAACATTTACATCTCCTCCTTGTTTTTCTTTTAACAAAATGTCTGACGCTGTATGATATCATGTCTCTGCCAGAATCAATAATCAATGACAATCAATAGATCCAATCTAATAGCTACCTACGTGGCCTGGACGGCTCCTGGTTTCACCACCACCTCAATCTTGTATTTGGACCCAGTCAGCAGCTTGATGGTTCGGGTCTGTCCAAACCGAGCTCCGTCAGATTTGAAGAACACCGCCGTGTTGTTGGGAAGCATCTTAAAGGAAATCCCGATTTTAACGATCTGAGGAACGTCGGCCATGTTTCCATCAACTGTGGGGGGCAGCAGGTCCGGATCAGGCGGACTGAGACCCGGAGGAGACCCGGACCATCTCCGCTTCTTGTCCCTGCGCTGCGTAATCCGGTCCAATCTGCGCACACACGCATAATCCCGACAACACGCGCGCGCGCACAGACACATTCTCTCCTGACAATTTTAAATGGAATTTAAAAACACTATGTTTGTTGTTGTTGTTGATCCTGATTTAAAAAAAAAAAAAAAAAAAAAGCTATGCATACAGATATCACAAAGCCACCAAACCAAGTTTTTGGACATATCTTAATTGGATTAATCTCAAATTTAAAATTCCTTCTTTCGACGCCGATGCCATTTTATTTTATGTTGATAACCTAAACTCGGCTTTCTCTGATGCCATAAATAGTTATATAGTGAAAAATCCACTGTATAACAAGCCCTCCCCGTTTTATGAACGAATCATACTATTCATTATGTAGATTAAACTAAATTAGAAAAATGCTAGAATCATTTCACAACCGATAACCCATCTAAAAAACTTGTTTTAAGCTTCTAATAATCCTGCTCCTTTGCGTTTTTTTAATCTTTCATTATATTGTAAAAACCCTCATTGTAAAAGTAGTTGACACCCTTTAAATTAGTATCATTCCGTTCCATTTTATATTAATAAAGTTCTTTTTAAAAAAAAAAAATAGATATCACAAGAGCTTAGAGTACGACTTAAAAATGATTGACCACAAAGTTTTACCTCACTATCTGCAAAAATGACAGAGATCGCCTATTGTGTCGATTATCTTTGCAGTCATCTTTAATGGGGTTAAGTGCAAAAGTTAATCAGTAGACTTGTGTGAACTCCATCTTTACCTTTAGAACCTCCCAATCTCAAAACTCTTAAGCCTAACAGTAATAGTGAGCAGAGAAATGACATTTCCTGTAGCAACGCAGTGGGTGACAAAGTATGGAAATGTAAGAAATTTAGACATTTCTGCCATCAAAGAGAGTGCATTAGGGCAGCCTGCATTTCCAGCAATATATTTTTGTAGGCTTTCTGTAGAATTTAGAGAAAATTAAACATTTGTACAACTATCAGTGCAGACTCAGCACTCAGTATAAACTGTAATATGTCCAGATTTGTGTTAATGGGCTCTTTGAAGATATTCAGTATGACAATTGTTAAGAGGTACTAGGTTTAAAATGTCAATTGGTTCAAGAGTTCAGAAAAGTCAATATCAAGACAGAAAATATACTGGCAGCTTTATTCAGAATTTTCCTTTACAAGAAGCTACCAGAAGGTGCTGCAAAGAAATCCAACAAGTCTCAGCAAGATAAGATGTGAAAAAAACATGACCACCTCTGATAAGTCCAGCTCATTCACCTTCTTTTCTTCTAAAGGTCAGTTATTGGGACATTTTATTGCTTTTCCTGCATTTCAGGTGAAAGACTGGGGTCTGAAGGGCTCTCAGGGAGTACCAGTTGTTGGAACGAAGGGCTCTCAGGGAGTACCAGTTGTTGGAACGAAGGGCTCTCAGGGAGTACCAGTTGTTGGAACGAAGGGCTCTGTAGTGATGTCAGGACAGTTCACTACAGCTCTCAGAGTACCAATTGTTAGAACAAAGAGCTCTCAGAGTACCAGTTATTAGAACGAAGGTTTCTTTCACGATGGTAACCCCTGTTGGACTTGACCACATGAGAGAATGGGTTCTTTTCAATCTTGCCCAATGGAACTTCACTTGTTCTCCAAACCTGAGCAAGTGGCATTTGACGAAGTTTCATCAAGATGTTCATCGGGAAAATTTCAGAATCAATTTTTGGTGGCTGCTGAGCCAAAAAGCCATAAAATGAAGTGGATCTAGTGGGTCCATGACTAACAGGAGGATATTCTGGTTCACCATAACTGAGAGAAGATGATTCACCTGAGCCGTAAGCATTATAGTTAGGAGATACAGGAGTGTCATAACTATAATCATAGGGAGGAGATCCTGCATAATTGTGATGAGGAAATCCCACAGTACCACTTTCATAGCTGTAGGGATGAGATCTTTCACCAGCATACATGTGTTCATGGAAAAATTGAGGCCCATACCAGGGACTGGGTGGTGCAGCGCCAGAATCTCCTGCACTGGAAACCACTTGTGGTTGCATTGAGAAAACAGGCATCTTGTCCTTGGTGTCCTGGGAAAAACCACCATAAGTCCTGGGAGTAAGAACACCAGGGTCACTGGTTGAGTTGGAATCAGAAGGAACGTCCATGTCTTTTGACTCCAGTGTGGAGGTTTGCTCTGGAGCTGCACTGGTAGCTTCAACACTGGACTCATTTCCAGGATGGGAGACCTCAGAATACTCAACATCTGGGAGTTTCAGAGATCCAGAGGAGCTCGAGGGAGTAGTGTTGTTATTGCTGCGGTCTGAAGAAAACAGTTAAAAATAAAAAAAGAAGAAGAAGAAAAAAAAAAAAGACATATATATGTAATAAAATAAAAACTAAATCACCATGTCAGTAAGATAAGATTTTAAGAAAGCAATAGTTAGACTCATGTATAGACACCAAAATTAAATTAAAATAAAATAAAAAAAAATTGCTTGATATTATTGCTAGTTTTCAATGAGAGATCAAAAGGTGTGCCGGATTGTGACTCACCAACAGGAAAACAGTTGCCAAAGTTAAAAAGCAGGAAGATCCATGCAACCCTATGAAACAGTTCAACATAATTAACTCCAGGGATTCAAGTAATGTTGTCTAATGAAGAATAATAAACTCCAGTAACTGACCGTAAATAAAGTCCCAGGACCATGTTTGACTTTGAAGAGCTGTGTAGCTGCAGCAGTTCACCCTCAAAAGAAAGAGGCTGGTCTTAAACACAATGCACTGCACTGATCATTAAAGACACCTGTAGCTTATTCAGTGGCTGCAGAGGCAGTACTGGAGGAGGGCCACCAGATAGAGACAAAACACTATGTACCATAAAACTCCCACAGAGTTCAATATGAAATCAATAATTATAACTCAATATGCATGTTTATACTATGAGGGTGTAAAATCCAGAACATCCAATCTCCACAAAGCCTGGGTGAAGCTTGCACCCTCAGTGAGGCGACAGAAAACCACAATAAAGCTCAGATAAAATGAATTAAGAAAAAAAAAAAGATGAATCTTTAGAAAACCAGCAAGTTAAAACATTAACCAGAGAAACTGCATTTTCTGTAAAAATGCTGTGAATTTGAGAGGTGTACGACTTCTGAAATTCACTGGAGGACAAATTAAAGTTAAACAGAACAAAATCTAAATTCAGCATCTAAATGCTAAAATTCAAAAAACTGTTGCTCAAAGATAAAATTTGCTAGGTGGTAGTTAAAAGCTACAATTAGTAAAACAGTAGCTAAAAGCTAAATGTAGCCAAACCTGTCTTTAAAGCAACAAGTTAGCAAAGCTAAAGCTAAAAGCAAAAATTACAGAGTAGCTAAAAGCGAATAGGAACATAAAAAGACAAAAAGAGAGCCAGTACTCCAAAGTAGACTTCAAAGAACAATGGTTATGAAGACTTGTAAACAAGGCCGGATTAACCATGTGGACAACTAGGCAACTGCCCAGGGGCCCATGATCTCTAAGGGGCCCAGGGCAGTGAGGGCACAAGCAAAATATCTGGTTATCTCCTGCTTTACATGGAGCCCTGCGCTGTATTTGTGCAGCTTGCCTCCTCCCAGCGCAGCTGCTGCAGCTCTCTGGGTTTTTTTTTCAATCGGATCCTCGGTGCGACCTGTCAATCAACTCAGAAGACGTGTCAGTAACTGACCCATCGACAACCTCAATTTGTCCCGAAGGTAAACGCCCCTTACCTGCTGACAAGCTCATCAGTTTTTTTTTCTTGAGAAACATTGTTTTAATTAAAACAATAAGTTTGTATCTGTTGTGAGATGATTTTAGTAGTTTTGCAGATTTTTAATCTACTTCATAAAGAATATTATGACTTAATATTGTTCATCAAACAGGAAAGAATTATCTCTCCTCTTACTACAGTGAATGTGGTACTTTGCTACAGCTATATTTATGGCATCAGAGAAAGCTGAGCTTAAGTTATCCACATAAAGTAAAATGGTATCAGCATGAAAAGAAGGAAGGTTAAGTTTGAGATTAATCCAGTTTTTGATGTCTGACCAAAAACTTTGGATTGACATGAAAAAAAAAATGCTCGAGAGATTCATCTTCTGATTTACAAAGCGCACACAAATCAACATCAAATTTAAATATTCTTTGCAGAAACATGGCTACAGGATATATCTTATTTATTATTTTTAAATGATTCTCCTTCGCTTTTGGAGATTTAGGTCATTTGACAAATTTAGAATGAGCAGAAATCATTCTGGTTTTATGATTTATATTAGGAGGTTTCTTGAAGGAATCTTTGTTATACTTAGTAAATCCTTTGTCGTAAACATTCATTGATAATCTTGTTACATTTTGAAGTTAACTAAGTTACAGTCATTTAGTTTTAATGTGGGCATCAAATCGTCACCTTTAAATACAGTGCCTTGCGAATGTATTCGGCCCCCTTGAACTTTTCAACCTTTTGCCACATTTCAGGCTTCAAACATAAAGATATAAAATGTTAATTTTTTGTGAAGAATCAACAACAAGTGAGACACAAAAATGAAGTGGAATGAAATTTATTGGATGTGTCAAACTTTTTTAACAAATACAAAACTGAAAAGTGGGGCGTGCAATATTATTCGGACCCTTTACTTTCAGTGCAGCAAACTCACTCCAGAAGTTCAGTGAGGATCTATGAATGATCCAATGTTGTCCCAAATGACTGATGATGATAAATAGAATCCACCTGTGTGTAACCAAGTCTCCGTATAAATGCACCTGCTCTGTGATAGTCTCAGGGTTCTGTTCAAAGCGCAGAGAGCATCATGAAGACCAAGGAACACACCAGGCAGGTCCGAGATACTGTTGTGTACCAAGACCCGGTCGTACCTCTAAACTTTCATCTCGAACAAGGAGAAGACTGATAAGAGATGCAGCCAAGAGACCCATGATCACTCTGGATGAACTGCAGAGATCTACAGCTGAGGTGGGAGAGTCTGTCCATAGCACAACAAT